TGATGAAGTCGGTAATGGTAAGGCTCAGAGAAGCTGTCCTTCAAGTGCATGTTCGCCAGGGCCCCGTGGGCGGGAAGAGTCACAGCGAGCACACTGACCCAGTTAGAGAGCTACAAGGAGGGATTGAGCGAAGCAGAAGTAGAAAGAGTGACAAGATCAGAGACTCTTCCTGCAAGCAATTCCAACAGATCGCGTCCAGATTGATCGTTTACATAAATATATGAGTAAATTCTGAGTAATTTGCACGTAAAACAGACCTCTCTGGAAACTCTCCTCCGGATTCACAAACGCTTAGTAAACTTCCGATTTGATAGTTAAACATGTGTATGTTAATGAATTCCAATCATTTGTAAATAGGGCGCTCGTGCGCGCTCATTCACAATTAGCATAATCCCCGCCTGAATTACAGCTACACAAATTGCATGTCCAGGAACGCATTGGAATATTCTGGTCTACTTTCTCAGGTTTGGCTCCAGTATATTGCATAAATGCAAAAAAGACTAATAGGCCACATGCCTAACAATAAATATTTGATAACGTGTCCACCAAAGAGTTTTTAGCCAGCTAAAAAATTTCAGGCGCTCTTCTTAAAACGACCAGCTGGTGGTTTCTCCAGCTGAGATGCTTTGGTTGTTATGATTTGGAGTATCCACAGCGGCAACTTATTACTAGTATCTCATTTTTAAGAATTTTACTAAATATAAAAAAGCAGTAACCAGTAATATTGACTTCTCCATTGTTGTAGGCAGTCGCATTGTTGTGTGGTTGGTCGGTATTTGTCCCGCCCCTCCTCCATTGATTGGACGGCTGGGTAAATAGTGACAGTGACGAGCGCTGCGTTTTACAGTTATCAACTCTGCTACAAAAAAAAGAGGGCAAGGGCAAATGAACTTGTAATTATCATGGCAGTACATCAAAATTCAGTGTCATCAGTTTGCCAAAAAGAACACAGAACGTTTTACGCAGCGTTTACATGTGGTAGGGAGCAGGTGTACATTTCGTTAGTACCAACTAACATTTTGAAATTACGAACATTTTCATGAATTCGAAAGTTTAAGTCAGAATGGCTTCCCTTTCAGCCTCATTTTAAAGAAATAACTTGCTGGCGTACGTCACCCGCCAGGCACTACCTGAACAACACAGATTTATGACTATTAGACTTTGCATAATCAGACCACTCACAAAAAGCTTTGCATCATCAGAGTGTGAGGTCACATCCTGTAGAGTCACTAGATTGCGACTCGCTCAGTCTGGCCAGAGCAGAGAGCCATGCAGTCAAATACTGACGGATTAAAATACCCTGGATAAAGTGTCCCTTTGTAACAGGTTGCCCATAGATTGTCTTGCATAAGGTCAACTTGGGTTACATAATAGACCTTAAAACAGCTCCAAGTGCTAGACGTGGGGCTGACCTGATCTCTGGGGGTAACGATGGCAGTGATGATTGTGAGAGATTCTTGTCTGTCTCTGGTGACAGGACAGGATCTGACACCCATACATGCCTCCGGGTTCTCAGGTATCCTCCATCTGGTCTCAGCTGTCTGACGGCCTGATGATCTCAGCGCTATATGGGCAGCGGGAGGGTGTGTTAGGCGTGCTCCGGTTCTATCAGGCAGCCATGTGTAACAGTGATGTCAGCCTGCCTTGCACCGGTGGAAGCGAGCCGTCAGCTTTGGATGCTGCTGGAGAAGAGGTAGGAAGCACCCCGGAAGTTCGGAAAGGAGGATACAGGCTGAGAAGGAGAAATGGAAGGATGATTAGGGCTCGGAAGACAGTAGAGGAGAACCGAGTATGCGGGAAAGGGCGGAAGCGGAAGGTGACCTGGTACCACAGGCTTCTCGGCTACAGGTTAGTGAAGTTTGACCAGGTCTTGCTGCATATCTCTTCAGCTGCAGAACTCCACTCTTTTACTTCTTTTCTTACTGAGATTGAGAGTGGGCAGCTCAGAGAGATGATATCATAGCTGTGTATGTGGGTTGACACCTGACTTAAAGCGTGGAGGGAGTTTGCATCCCACACACAACTACAAAACCTAATTGACTGAGACAATGGGAGCGGGGAAAGAGATTATGATGCTGACAACAAGATTTAAGACTTAAATACACCAACGGTGGCGTGTGTTGGACTGTTGCCATGCCTACACAGGAGGGATGATATTACCGCAGGGTGTCGTGGGAGGGAGCGGCCGCTAGATTGAACACACATCCCCTGCGCTCGCACACGTAAACCCTCTGTCCATCCCTTCATGTCAGATAAACAGGAACCCGCACGGCAAATTAATACCGGCCGATGATAAATGTCTCACACATGCACATCATCCTTCTGCAGTCTCTCGGTGAAGCCAGACCTCTGTCAAAGCTGGTTTTAGTAGAACTAATTCCATTATGGCAGTCTCGCTGATTGCTCTTCCTGTCTGTTTCCACCGGCGTGTGGCGTATTCTTTATCTCAAATTGTGTGCCATTCTGCCTGTGCGGTGTGCACTCAGTTGATTACTTTCTAGTGAAATGTTCTGCTGTCTGCGACATGACACTGTGTTTACCCAGGACTGATTATGTGCCCTAATGTATGGCGTCTTTAAACAGTGGACATCGTTGATTGATTTGCTTAATGCCATGGAATAATATTAAACAGAAATGCGTTACTCATTTACCTGACTGCAATGGGAAAGAGGACATTTACGTCTCAAGCTCTCTATATCAGCCTGTGGATTTGATCATTTTAGTGCAATCACGTCCACAGAGACATGTGACACTAATGATTCAGCATTCAGGATGGTTTCTAACGAAAGCTTTCTTACTCGGCTCCTCATGTTGCATGTTTCCTTTTGTCATGAATGGCCTTTTTCTGATGCATGTGTCATCAAATTTCAAATTTTGTTGCTCACAAGTCACTCTTTCATTGCGTAGGAGACTCTCTAAGGAAAAAGACATTGTTGAGATCTATTCTGAAATCTTTGAGAAGACATGTTAGATAATTTTTGTCAGGAGAAAAATCTGAGAGCTCAAGTCTTGTTTCAGAGAACCTGGTTTAGATTTTTCTTGCCTACGCATGTGTGACATATTTGTTTATGTATATTTGTTGTTGTGTTCCTGGCTTTCACCACAGTGGCATGTTTCCAACGCACATGTCATCTGCCAGTGGCTCTATTTTTAGCTCGGAGGGTAAAGGTGTGTGATCCCATGGCCCCGGCTCGCTTTACAAAAGAGCTCGTAACTGGACTCTCGCTTGTGTTCTTTCTGAACGGGATAATTTTAGACGAGGATTTGAAACTTTCAGCAGGGTGTCAGGTGTACGGCCCACCATTTCCTCATCCGTTGTTCTCTTCACCCCCTACCTCCGTTGCTTGTGTCGTGAGTGTGTGTGTAAAATTATACACCAAACGTTGGGTCACTTTCAACCTTTGCTTCAAAATGGACGGCCATATGGCGCTGTGTGTTTACTTTGTTAAATACTGGAGGAAGATCAGGTGGCAACAGTTTTTGAGGAAGGAGCTTGGAGTTTCATCAAGTTCAGTTACACATTTTAATATGCACTTGGACAGCTGGAGATATGAAACATGCATGCTACATGTTCACTTTGATATATTAGTAGCTTTAGATTTTTAATGCATGTGTTAACGTACATGAGAAATGTTTTTGCTTTAGTATACTATTAACCTCCTTAAAGGGGTCATGAACTGCCCCTGTTTTTAACTTCAACTTATAATATTACATCAAAAAACATCATAATTCAGAAGTAATATGCTATTTTCTGTTCTGTTTTTAAACCCCCCTCATCAGAACGCTCTGTTTGAATAGGAGTAGTGGATTGTAGACTCAGAAGTAAACACCCACTGCTATGATTGGCTAACAGTTGTGATTAAAATTCGCATTCCGTGAGCACCAATAGCCTTTTGGGCAATGTGCCAACATATTGTGCTGTTGCGCTACAGGCGTCCCGAGTTCGAATCCCGGCTCGAGGACTTTTCACTATCACACCCCCCTCTCTCTCCCACTTTGCTTTCTGTCTCCTCTACACTGGCCTATCATAATAAAGTCAAAAACACCAAAAATGAATCTTTAGAAAAAACGCATTCCAGGGGATAAATATCACATATTGTGGTCTCTTCAACCTGCGGACATGAAAAACAACCCTCGGCAACAGTGTTAAAATAAATACCGTGGAAAACCGGGGGCTTGGCAACAATGTTTACGAGCCTAGACAACACACATGTGTGAATCGGTGGGCGGGGCTAAATAGGCAGCACTGTAGAAGCAGGCATTGATCTTTTCTGCGGAGGCGGTGTTTAGTCACACTATTACATCATAAAGTGGCACATTCCACAAGCTGTTGTTTTGGCAGACTGGCTTCAATATAAGCTGTTTTTAGACTAATGACAAAGTTTAGAGTTCTGAAACTTACAGCATGATTTTATAGTACAATGACCTCTTCTTATATGTCAAAAGATGAAGGGAATTTTGGTTTCTCGGTTCATGACCCCTTTTTGCTCCCTTTGTGTTTGTACAGACAGTGTGGGCTGTATTTGCGTAAATATAAGTTTGAGTAGATCTGTCTGTGATACTGGCATGGGATGATGGCTAATTCTATGGAAGATTGACAGACAGAGGAAGTGATCACACGATACTGACTCATGCAAGTCCCTTGCTGGGACACAAGCACACACACATTGTGTCTAAGAACAGTCTTTGCTGATTTCATACCATATGAGGCAGAGGCTCTCTTTGCATGCAGGGAATTATGGGAACTTCCTGGCCAAGCAGACTGGTTAACAGATTGGTCTGGATCATTTTGATACTGGCACAAGGTAGACGGCCGTCTCCTGTTGTGTGTGTTTGTAGTGTGTCCCCGCTTTAGCTCCACAATGATTAGTCCTTTTATGTGCAACAGCAAGGAGCTCTATCCCCGATGTCAAAACCTTCAGTCCAGGAAGGCCTCATTATTTTCTCTTGAATGCGTTTACTCTTGGGCTGAAGCTATTTGTGGTTGTTCTGTTCCACAGGAAAGCCATCTCACGGTCGGGCCTCCAGCATTTGGGTCTGGCCCACAGTCCATTCCCTGCCCTGAGCAATGGACCGGCCAAGGAGCTTCACAGCACAGTGGACTGGAGTGTAAGTGTTCTTCATCTGTCTTTCACTCCAATTGTCTATCCAACTGTATGTCTTATCAGCTTTGCCATAAAAAATTACTCTGGCAGTGCTGTGATAGTATCAGATGGTACTTCGATATAGACAGAAATCCTTTTGATTTGAGCCTAGCAACCACACAAAACACCCTAGCAACCACCTAACAACTGCCCAGAGCCAGTGTTATTTTAGTATTATTTATATACTATTATAGTTTACTTTTATGGTATTATTAATAATTTAACTTCGATTTCAGTTTTCATTTTAATTTTAGTTAATTTTTTTGTAGTTTTGTTGTGATTTTGACATTTCTATAAGAATTATTTCTTTTAAATTGTTTCTATTAAGCTTTATTTTTATTTCAGTTTTAGTTTGTAATTTTAGTACTTAAATCTTATTTATTTTCTTGCATTACATTTTCTTTCTAACATTTTTCAACATTATTAATTAATTAATTTCAGTTTTGAAATCGCTTTGGATTAGCTTTTATTGTTATATTTTTATTTTAATTTGAGATTTATTTATTATTTATTTATTTATTTTGGTTTTTAATTAGCTTTTTTTATTTCAGTTTTAGTAATTTTGTTTTGTACTTTTGTCTTTTTTATTAGTTTTTTAAATACTTCTCTTTAGATTTAATATATTTTTATTTCTGTATAATAAGTTTTAGTCATTTTAGTACTTCAGCGTAAGCTAACTTATTTCAGTTAGTTGCAAATGCAATATTTGTAATTTTCAGTTACATTTTTTAAGTTAAGGTTTTGTATGTAATATTTATATTTGATTTCATTATATTTAGCAACAATAAAGCAATGTACCATACACTTAGCATAATGAGTTCACCACAGTTGGAACTAGTTTACAATGTGTCATTTTTTTCTTACGATATATAGTGTGAGTTTTATAGATAATATGCGATATTCCCATACTAAAGCGCTAATGTTGTTACTGTCAAGGATAAGGTTGTGGCATGGCAAAAGAGAGACTCTTTAATCCAGGTGCTGTGTGTACAGATGGAGACTGCTGAGGGGGCGGAGCCCAGCGGGACGCTTCCTGTGCGTCTTTGCTGGCCTTTTCTTCCCCGCTAGTTCCCGACGTGACCAGCGCAGCCATCAAACATTAATGTGCCTTCCTAAAGCTTCTAAGTGTGTGCGCGAGTCAGTGCTAATTGAAGCCTCACACAACAGTGTCGTTGTTTCCATATGAAATACGTGTGTGTGATTTCAATGTGCGTTGAATATTTTTGTACTTAAATGCTCCTATACTTTGCATAAGTTTAGCTAGGGTGACCTCTTTTCCCCGGACATGTCCTCTTTTTGGACCTAAAAAAATGCGTCCGGCCGGGATTTCTTAATCAACCAACATTTTCTTTATCTTGCTCCCGCTGAATCTCTGACCATTAGGGATGGGCGATACCACTTATTTTGTTTTCAATACGATACCGATATTTTTCAAGGCAGTATCGTCGATATCGATACAGATTCGATACTTCTGAACTAAACTTTTAAATTATGAAATGTATTAAATTACTAAGAGTAAAATGGGTAATGATAAGCACTTAACTTTGTTTAAAACGCATTTTAACATTCAATACGCCTTAATTGTAACTTATTAGGTTATATTTTTGTTTACACATGGTTCAAATATGCTTTTTGTTTACACATGATTCAAATCTACAGATACTACAGTTGAACTATGGTCACTTTAGTAAAACCATGGTTCATTTTCATAAGGGACTGCCAGTGACAGGCTGTTACATGCATAAAATGCAACCTTTTTATTCTGACAGTGTATGATTTCTATTAACATTACAGAATAGAACATGATCAATATTATCTTTCAACGTTCAATTTAAATAACTGTAATTGCACAAACTATGTAGGCTACAATTTCAGTTTGTTTATTGTGAAAGAACTCTGTCCTTCTGTCCTCTGATAAGCATTGTTCAGGGCTGCCGTTCCCAAAAGCTTTAATGCTTTCTTATGATACTTTTGGGAAACGCAGCCCTGTTTGAATGCAGTGAACGCTCTCTGTGATTGA